CACTCAACTATTTGATAATTTCAAATCAGTCCTTGCACGTTATAATTAATACTTTTAACCCTGAAATTAATTCTAATTAATTTATGGCTAACTATTAATTAAATATTATGATTTCCAATTAATATATTATTTTCATAACATATTAATAAATCATTTATATTAATTTATTAATCTCATAATAAATTAATATCTCTCCTTTCATAATTTCCATGTCCAGTTGCTAGGTTTGAGGGCAACCCAAAAGGACTGTGCTGCTATCAATTCAAGTACATACCAATCATAGTTATGGGCTTAGACACCTGATCCAACAGAAGCACATTTCAGCATGAAGCTTTTTTGAAATCCAACAACCAAGCCAACATGACCATTTTAGACACATCTCCAGTAGGTAGATCAATCAGTATTTTTGACTTGGAATTACTAATAAATCTTATTTATCGGTTCATAATAACGGCTTATGACTATAAATATAAGTTACACTAAAAGCAAAAGAGTATATCTTAACTTACAGAGGTTTTAACGAAAACTAGGAAATTGCTCTGGCAAGACTTCATCCTGATAGCTACTAGATATTAGGCTCCTAGGAACTTCTATGTGACATCCCCAAAATCTCGGCCAGAAAAGACTGATTTTCATTAATGCTTTTAAAATAATTTCAGAGTAAATCCTATTGATTTGAAAGAGTTGCGGAATTTGTTCCCAAAAACAAAATGTGATAAAATAATATTTACCAAGGCATTTCATAAAAGAAATGTATTTTCATTATATAATCAAAACTCGAGATGTCATGTTCCGATACAGACCATAAAGCATAAACGATAACATTACAAGTCATTCAACAAATATATATATATATATATATATATATATATATATATATATATATATATATATATATATATATATATATACAGACTTGTAAACAAAACAACTTGATGGTTCATCCATCTTATGCCCTTGCGCCAGTTCCTATAATACAAATAAAACTGAGTGGGTCAGGCTTGGGAGCTTGGTGAGCATATAGGGTTTTCAACCCACAATAAATAATTATATTTAATTCCACCAATCAACAATAACCCAATTACCCATTCCCGTTATTCTCACTTGACGTCCCTAAAACAACTAACACAAGGCACCTAGTCTTAGAATATTTCATCGGGGCGACAACACATGCATTCGGGGGTTTCCCGGCAATATATGTCAAATAAGGCAACCATGAGGGGGATGCAGTACAGCGAATGAACACCCAAGTTCATTAACACCTACAGGTGGCGAACCTGGTAGCATTCCACAGGACTATCTAGAAAAGTATGTGGTCGTCATCTAAACTCCGCTAGATGACTGAATCAAAAACAACATTGAGGCCTCTCATCTGTTTATCACACGTCAACTATCTACCCATGTTCTACCCGACATATTAGTAGATAAAAATATATATTTTTATACATAGTTTAAAACCTGTATAGCATTCTTATTCAATACATATTCCAAAACAACAGATGAGACACATACACATAACACGTATTTCATAGAGAATAAATCGTATATATGAGATAGAAGAAAGTGAATATACATTCACGCATATAAAAACAAAATATACACATAATACGTATTTTATATTAAATACTTAATAATTATGCGTTAGAAGAAACTAACCACACACTCACTTGATTAGAAGATGATCGGATGCCACTAGGGCTTGCAGAAGTAGTAATCCTCAGCAGATTTGGAAGATGTCTACAAAAATCAGACTTCTCGCGGGCAGAGCTTCGGCTCGGAAATCGCACTTTTCGGGATCTTCGGGGCTACGAAACTTGCTTCAGGGCTCGGGAATATTACCGGGGCTTCGGGGTACTTCTGGCATGCAAATCAAGGTAAAACGGGAGAGAGAAGAGTGAAAAAGAGCAAATGAGCCGACTGCCCTCGCATCCTATTTATAGGAGGCTAAGCCTCGCACGTAAGCTGGTACGCCTGTAGGCGGGGCGTAAGCCTCCGAAATCGTCACTGCATGCGCCATCCGAGGAACTCGAGTGCGAAGGTTGTCATGCTTCGTTTTACGCTGGGCGTACGGCAGTACGCTGGGTGTACATCAGATAGGCTCGGTGACTTCCCTTCGGATAATACCGGATTTCATAATTAATATAAATATTAATTATTTAATAAACTTTGAAAATTCATATCTTCTTCATACGAACCCCGTTTTCAACGTTCTTTATATCCACGCGTAGCTGAGACTATGCTCTACAACTTTCGTTTAGACTCTGTCGGCTAATTTTAAATTTATTTTTATTATTTATTTTTAATAGGCCCGGACAGGAAAACTTCGTTATAAATTCATAACTTCTTCATTTGACTTCCGTTCTCGCCTAACGTTTCATCGCTTCGATACCAACAACGAGATCTTCGATTCTCATTTAGATTGCTTTGGATAAAAACTGCTCCATCAAAAATCGAGTATTTCGGGTTGCATACCGCTAAGTCGAAATTTCAATAAGTCATAACTTCCTCATACGAAGTCAGATTTTGGCGTTCTTTTTATGCACGCTCTCGGTTTAATGAACTCTATGACTTTCGTTTAGATCACTAAGGCTAAATATCGCTCTAACATAAATTTCACTTTTTACGTCATTCAGCGTTGCCGGTTCTGTCGCGAAACTTCGACAGGTCATAACTTCTTCGTTATAACTCGGATTTCGGCATTCTTTATATCTTCGGAATCCTTATTTCGACCACTACATCTTTATGCAAAGATGTTGGGATTATCCCACACTTCAAATTTGATGCTTATTTTATTCATAATTAATTAAATATAATAATTAAGAAAATAAACACATAATTCACATAATACTCAAATATTTCATAATTAATACTCCAAAAAGAGTTACAAGGGTTAACCTAGACTATTACATCAATGAAAATGCCTAGCCTGGAAACGCGGGTGTTACAATTCTCTCCCCCTTAGGATGATTTCGTCCCCGAAATCACACATCAACAAACAAATGCGGATAGTGACTCAACATGTCACTCTCTGTTTCCCAGGTGAGATTTGACCCATTCGTATGTTTCCAACGGACAAACACTAATTCGGCCATCTTGCGTCGAAGCTTCTTAGTATTTCAGTCAACAATTGCCCAGGTTCTTCAATTAACCTCTTGTTTTCATCAATTCTCAATTCAGAAATTGGAATTATATCGGGAACTTCTCCCGTGAACTTCCTCAAATAATACACATGAAAAGTGTTATGAATTCCATTCGGTTCTTCGGGTAATTCGAGCTTGTAAGCTTGGTTCCCAATCCTCTGAAGAACTTTAAATGGTCCAATAAACCTTGGACTTAATTTTCCCCTTTTACCAAATCTTATAAGTCCCTTCCACGATGAGACTTTAAGAAAAACCGAATCTCCAACCTCAAAAGTCATCGGTCTTCGCTTCTTGTCAGCATAGCTCTTTTGATGATCCTGAGATGCTAACATTCTTTCCCTGATCACTTTCAACTTCTCAGCAGTTTGATGGACCATCTCGGGACCCATAAACTGTTTTTCCCCAGCCTCAAGCCAACAAGACGGTGTATGACACTTCTGTCCGTACAAGGCTTGATAAGGTGCCATCTTTATGCTCGAGTGGAAACTCACTGCTAGAAAAAAGACCTTTAACGACGCGCTTTTTACGACACGCGCTGATTAACGATACGCAATAGGACGTGCCCTTAAAATAGTGTTATCTCTCCAAAAAAAATTTAAGGATTTACGTCACGCATTATTGCATGCCCTTAATTTAGTGTCTCAAGAAAAAAAATTAGAAACACGGAGAGCGCTTTATCTTAAACGCGCGTCGTCTGTACATGCCGCTTTATAATTTTAATGAAACGCGCTTTTAGTTAATGAAGGGGGATACGAAATCCCCAAAATTTTGAAAACCCACCTTGTTTTTTCTATCTTCTATCTATTTTTCATCCTTGCAATCCACTCTCCCCTCTCTGATACTCTCTCCTCTAGATCTCCCTTCATTCTCTACCTCCCGTCTCTCTGTAAACCTCAAAGGTGAATCGTAATTGATCTGCGAGGTCTCCTTCTTTTCTTTGTTTTCTCAGGTACAGCATCATCCTAATCCATTAACCCCTTTCATTTTTCATTAAAAAAAAAACCCTAATTGACTTGGCAAGTTCATGAACCAGATGTAGCACATTCCAAACTGGGGATTTAACCGAACCCGATAGAGCCATTAACGGAATCTTCGGATCCGGTCAACAAGGACTCTCTGTAATCACGCAACTTTCTTGACAAGGGATCGCTCCAGGTCTTCAATCTATCAATCTACAATGTCCACTATCAAGTTACATCGAATCAAGGTCTAGGGTTTCAAATGCTTCAAGTTCTTCCCAAATAATTTCCCCTCTCAAGACGATTTTCCTCGATCGTATCTTTATGGCGATGATTCTCTCTCGATCGGATCGAAGACCGCTCACTCTCTCTGTAACAGCCTCGCTTCCTTCCAAAAATCGAAGACCATTCTCTCTCGATTGTCTCTTTATGGCGAAATTTAGAAACAATAATCTCAACATAAAATTCGTAACTGAACTCCTCTTCACCTCTACCCTACTCCATCTACAACGACTCCTTAAATTTACAAACCCTAGTCCAGTTGCGCTTCTAGTCAAATCAGGTACCTATCTATCTGCTTTCTGAATTCTCCTGGATTGGAAATTTCTTGATACTTCGCTAGCTTTTAAACAAACAAAAATCAGTTTTTCTCTCAATAATTCGTTGGATTTTTCATTGGTGTTCCCCTTACTGGTTTTGATAACCTCTCTAATCTGTGAGGTTTGTGTTTACTTTCTTGCCCTCCCTCTCTCTAAGAAGAAAACGCAGCCTCATCGCCTTCAATCACCCAACGACATAGGTGGAACTCAAACTTCTCAGACCAAAAGAAATATTGTACGAAAGGAAAGCTATCCATTAATGGAAGAAGTGCAGGGGGTTGCTTATTGGTGCTGTTGTGAACATGAGACCTGATTTATTTAAGGCTACTATAGCTGGAGTACCATTTGTAGATGTTGTGACTACAATGCTTGGTCCAACTATTCCTCTTACAACTGCAGAATGGGAGGTGATTTATATATAATATTTTTTTGTTTTGGAAACTAAAAGAAGGATGATATGATAATATTAGTATGTTTCTTTCTAAATGTAAATGACTTGCTCTATTGCAGGAATGGGGTGATCCTCGGAAAGAAGAGTTCTACTTTTACATGAAATCATATTCACCAGTTGATAATGTGAGTGCCAATGTATCTTGTTTCAGTTTAACTGACATAAATCCATCTGACAGATCATCAAATGAAAATGTTGAAGTTAATTACTGATGGGTGTCTATTTTGAATAGGTAAAAGCTTAGAATTATCCAGCCATAGTTGCTACTGCTGGAATAATGGTAGGTTGTCAAGAGTGATATTCAGGATGTGATTGATAAAGATGGTGAGGGGTTCACTATGGTCACAAAAAAAAGCTGGAAATGCAGGGACTGCTACTGTGAAGGGGTACAGTACAGGTGATATTCATCCCAATGTTTCTGGAAGCAAAGGTGGTAATTGGAATGGAGGGAATAACAAAAGAGGAAGCTATAATAGTGTTAATAAGGGTAATAAAGGTTGGAATAATAGAAGTCATAGGGGGAATTGGAATAAGGGGAGTGTTAGCCATTGGAATCATCAAAAGAAACACGAGTTTTTTTTGCTGCAAATAATAAATCTTTCATTGTAGATAAGCAGGGGCATAATGGGAAAGAGAGTGTGGATTCTAGGAAAAAAGAGGAAAAAGTGGAGAAGGGAAAGGATTTTAAGGGTAGCCAAATTATAAATCTTTCATTTTAGATAAGCAGGGGCATTCTTCTACTGATTCTATGGAAAAGGTTGTCACATAATCAACTTTGTGATTGTATATTGATGATTATAGATTGGTGGCTTTGAGAATCTAACAATAACTTTAACTTTTTTTCTTGCAGATATCAGCAGAATCCTGTCCTACTTCTGATCTGTTCGTCAATAATTCTGACAGTGGTCAAACTGAGGCTATAGAATCTAAGTGTGATACGAGGGTGAATTCCAATCTTGGGAACCATGATTCTTTAAATCCTATGAATGACATCCTTGATACCATGTAAGTTTGAAAATTTAATCATTGCAACTTACTAAGTATCAAAATAAGAAGGTTGGATGTTTTACTTTGTGATGTTTTTATTATTTATTGTTTTAGATGATTTGATTTCAAAGGTGATCAAGGTTCTTCTAGAAGAGATTGAGACACTAAGAAAATGAAACCTGGATGCTGTGTTGGTGAGCTAATATCTTTTTGAGCTTAGAGAAGTCAAGAAACAAGGGAGAAAAGAGAGAAGGCACAAGGAAGCCCAGGATGTGCTTGCAGCTGCAACTACTGCTGCTGCAGCTTCTTCCAGGCTTTCATCTTTCAGGAAAGATACACTTGAAGAATCCGCTCACCATGAGGTAGTTGGCTCTCATTTTGTTAGATAACATTTTAAGGGGTAATTTCGTCATTAAAAACCGTTTTTATAATGTGATTTCTCTAAAAACTATCATTTCAAGGTGTTGAAAGTTCGTGCACACAGTGAATCTTGTAGAGCTGTTAGATTTATCAATGAAGGACTTGGTAATGAACCAACATTGTTTATACTTTATATACTCTTGAGCCATGTAATTTACTTTTTACCCTCAGTAGCAACATAGTTTCTATTTCTTTAAACTTGATTTTGAATGTGTTTTTGTCATCAGTGATCCTCACTGGTTCTCCATATTGTTCTATTCTTGCAATTGATATTGAAACAGGATCTCCAGTTAGTTATGGATGGATGTTCATACAATTAGGTATTATATTCAATATTCATACAGTTAGTTATGGATGGATGTTCCAGGTGGGGGCAGATGTGCCTGAGCAAATCTTTAAGATGTCTCCCCGTTGATCGTATCTTTGTGAGGATGGGTGCAAAAGACCATATTATGGCAGGCCATGTGACTTTTATGATGCAAAGAGAGAGCTTCTGTGAATAGGTGGGGGCAGATATTACTTCATAAAGTATTGTTTTTTCTATATATATATATATATATATATATATATATATATATATATATATATATATATATATATATATATTAATTACCAAGTTTAACTTGTCAACACGTGTAGAATGCAAATGATCCCACAAATACATTGTTGGTGAGGGTATAAAACGTTTAATTACCTTTTTACCCTTGAGGCTCGGGTTTAAATATTTACACAATGTTATGACAATGGCACCTCCAAGGCTGGAAAAGGGTGTCGGGGTGTTAGATAAGCCAGTAATAGAGAAAAAAACTCCTGGAAGAGAGTCTGAGTTTGACTTGAGGTATTGTATCACTTTCAATGAAGTTTGAAATGCATATAGTAAAAGATTAGGTCGATTTACCTTTTTTTTTAGGAAATCAAGAAAAAATGGCACCACCATATAGAGTGATGCTACACAATGACAACTACAACAAGAGGTAATATGTTGTGCAAGTGTTGATGAAGGTTATACCTGGAATGACAGTTGACAATGCAGTTAATATCATGCTCTTGACCTAGACACCACTCTAATAGGGCTTTTCCAAAAAAAAATTGACCATCTTGAAAATATTCCAAAACCACAGGGTGGAAATATCTCTACAATTACATGTGATTTATCAGTAAGTATAATCTTTAATTTTAATCCATTCAAATATGTGACATGGTTTTGTTTTATTTATTTTTATTTATACTCATGTATATAATGTATAAAAAAATTACATAAACAGGAATTATGTAAAGATTGGTTATCAATTTTAATGATTGTTACTTCTGCACGATCTTCAATTAACATAAGACATTTGGAGAAAGCAACAGTGTCTACTGGAAAAGAAGGCTTGTTATCTGAAGGGAATGGTCTACTTGAAAAGAAGGCTTGTAACATTTTTGGTTCTTGTTCCCAACTTTACTTGGAGCAGGGGCCGAAAGTGTAACTTACTCTAAATTTTATATGTAAATTTAATTTTATATTTTGAAGGGAAATTTAGTGAATATTGATTGGTTGATGCAGTTAACTAGAATTGGTCGAGATGCAGTTTTATATGTTGAGTCGCTCATTGAGTCAATCATGGGAGGATTTGAAGAGCTAATCAACATTCTTGATTCTGAAGGAGGTTTTGGCTCTTTGGAGACACATGTTCTTACTATTTTATCAATTTCCTTAAAAAGTTACCAAATTCATGTATTAAATTTGATAAAGCTAACTTAATTGCTTTTTTTAAATCCCAGCTTCTACCAGAAGTCAGCTGAAACTACAAATGGCTTTTGATGGGTAGGAAAGATATATGAAGGTATGATCTATATTGTAATTCAGATTCTATAACTTTTATCATGTAATCTCTTAAGTCTTAATACCCATTATTCCTTATGCATGTAGAGATCGTGGGAGCCAAGTGATAAAGCTGATCTTCACTTTGTCTACAAAGATGTTGAAGGAGTATCAACTCAATGGGACGATATTCAAAGAAAGCTCAGGAACTTACCTCCTAAACCCTCTGCCTTCAAACCCGATCCCTTCACTCCTGCGGAAGATGAAGATTCCAAACCTAAAACCAAATCTCGGATCGATAAAAAGACAGAAGAACTCAAAGATTTAGAAGATGATCTTGATGATAGTTGTTTCCTCAAAGAATACAAGTACCTTCAACTCCCTTAATCCTAATATCATTTTATGAGGGTATTAAATTTCATGAGATATTTTCATGGTTTCATTTTCTTTTGTGTTCTTGAAGCAGAAAGATGTTAGCAGAGATGAAGCAAACAGTGGAAGTTTGAACTCGGAAAGTTCGGGCATCATCTATGGTGGCCCGGGCAGCATCTATTTCAATATTGATTGTGTGAAAGTCATCTACTAAAGCAAGGTTGGTGTAAGAGTTGATGATGAGAACATTGTTCCAAGACCTTCAGTGAGTTATGATGATGTCCCTTAATAGCAATGTAGTATTAGGTTATATAGTTACCGATGATTACTTGTATTTGACATTTTATGCAATGAATTATCTTACTTATTTATTCTATTTTATTTTGTATCTTGTATGACATTAATTTTTGTGCAATGGATTGTATTTTTTGTATATGGTGTTTTATTTCTATTATGAGAAATTAAATGCAAATTAAATTTAAAAATTAATAAATATATAAATTTATTTTTTAAAACATTTAAATTTACGATACGCAAAAATGTGTGTCATCTTCATTTATGACATGGCCTTTCTTGACAGAGGCTTTCTTGATACGCATTGCGTGTCATTAACACGCGCGTCTTAAGGTTACGACACGCGAATGCGTGTCGTCTTCCTTTATGACAGGGCCTTCCTTGATACGCATTGCGTGTCGTAAACGCGCGTCGTAATTGCACGTCGTAAATGAGCATCGTAAAAGCGCGTCGTCTCTCTTTATGACAGGGCCTTCCTTGACGCGCATTTGCGCATCGTCTGAGCCTTTTACGACGCGCAATGCGCGTCGTAAAAGGCTGTTGTAGGAAAATTCTACCAAAGTAAATGTTCATCCCAGTTACCTAGGAATTCTAGGGTACATGCCCTCAGCATATCTTCAAGCATTTGTATCGTCCTTTCACTCTGACCATCAGTTTGTGGATGGTAAGTTGTACTTAAACACAACTTGGTGCCCATTTCCTCTTGTAGACTTTTCCAAAACCTTGAGGTGAAACGGCTATCACGATCCGATACAATCGTTAAAGGAACACCGTGAAGCCTCACAATTTCCTTCACGTAAGAATTTGCGAGCTTTTCCATAGACCATTTCTCATTGGCTGCTATGAAATGCGCACTCTTAGTGAATCGATCAACGACCACCCAAATCATGTCGTGACCATTCTTTGTTTTGGGTAGTTTAGTGACAAAATCCATCGCAATGTCTTCCCAGTTACCCATAGGCACAGGTAAAGGCTCTAAACTCCCATATGGTTTCTGATGTTGTGTCTTGACTCTCGCACAAGTCACACACTCGGCCACATAATTTGCAACATCAAGCTTCATCGCTGGCCACCAGTAGTAGGGTTTCAGGTCCCTATACATTTTAGTGCTACCAAGATGAATCGAGTACATGGTTTTGTAAGCTTCTTCCATCAGAAGATCTCTTATTCCTCCTGACTTAAGTACCCAAATACGATCTTGGAATACCTTCAGTCCATGACCGTTTGTACCAAACACCAACGTTTTTCCCAAACGTTCCTCCTTTCGGTCATTTTTCTCAGAAGCTTCCTCTTGAGCTTTCTTTATACTCTCCACAATTGTCGAGACAACTTCTATTCTCAACGCTCTTGGCCTTTTTCTCTCAACATTTACTTTCCGACTGAGAGCATCAGCAACAACATTAGTTTTACCGGGATGGTAAAGTATCTCGCAGTCGTAGTCCTTGAGTAACTCTAGCCAACGTTGTTGCCTCATATTTAACTCTTTCTGATTGAAGAGATATTGGAGACTCTTATGATCAGTGAAAAGTTGGCACTTCATGCCATAGAGGTAATGCCTCCATATTTTCAGAGCGAAAACTACCGCTGCCAACTCCAAATCATGAGTCGGGTAGTTCTTTTCATACTCTTTCAGCTGTCGAGATGCATATGCTATCACCTTTTCTCTTTGGGTAAAAACACAACCCAATCCAACCCCAGATGCATCGCTATAAACATCGAAGTCTTCAACTCCATCAAGTAGAGAAAGTATCGGTGCCTCGCATAGTTTCTTCTTTAGCTTCTCGAATGCTTATTTATGCTTATCATTCCAGGCATAAGTAGCTCCTTTGTGGGTCAAAGCTGTCAATGGAGTAGCGATCGAATAAAAGCCTTGGATTAACCTTCGGTAATATCCGGCTAATCCCAAAAAGCTTCGGATCTCCGCGGGACTTTTCGGTTGTCCCCACTTCATCACAGCTTCGATCTTCACTGGATCAACCATTATCCCTTCTTGGTTGACCACGTGACCTAAGTGATTTTTCACACTTGTATCAGGTTACATCCTCGCTACATTTCCCAAAGTGCTTTTTCTTACACTTATCACACCACTTCGCTTCGCCTCCTTTTCCTCCACAAAACCTTTTCGAATCAGATTTCGAAAATTTGCTTTTCTTACCGGAACCAGATGTTCCCTCAAACTTCCTCTTCTCACCAACCTCAACCTTGTCGGTGGTTCTCCCTTTAATCATGTTCTCAACAGACTTGGCAGCCCAAATAGCTGCCTCTAGAGTAGGTGCCTGACGAACTGGCACTGTGTACTGATGGGTTTTGAGCATTCTAACACTTCCTAAGTGTACATGCAACCCTAATAACCTTGGATCTATGTTTGTCTAATTATCATGCAAAGTTGAATTCCAAGGTCATATTCCTATCTAGCATACATGGGGAACAATTTTTAACTTGAATGAAAGATAGAATAACTTACCTTGTTGTTCCTTATGTTCCTTGAAACCTTGTGAGCCTAGCACCCCAAATGTGATGCCTCAAATGCTTCACACAACACCAAATGCTCTTGGAAAGACTTTTGAGAGAATGCACACTTCCTGAAATCGGCCTAGCCCTCTTGTTTCATATGTGTAGCCGATTTTGGTGGAGAATAGGATTCTTATATAGTGTTGACACTTCTACGGTTACACCATGTAAACCCTAATGTGTCATGACTCTTCATTTCCATGACCCATGGGTTTGTAACTCCCATGGAGCATCCTATGGGTGGAACCCAACTTGATAATCCATGGAGCCTCTTAGCCCACTATACAAGATATGGATGATTTACATAATCAACCCATATATTTAATTAGTTATCTTTGGATCACTTAATTAATTCTAAATTAATTCTTGATCAAACTAATCAAATAATATTATTAATATATTAGAACTTATAATATATTAATAATCTCCAAGTGTTATTTCTCTCATTTGGTCTATCCAATTGTATGGTTCCATGCAACCCAAATGGACCATGCCGGGTCGGGTCAAGTACATACCAGAAATAGTTATGGACTTCCATTTCGAAGATCCAATCCATCACTTCGATCGGGTCCTCCTTTCCAGTGAAGGTCGATGGTTTGCAAGTCAAAAAGTCCTTGTACTTGCATCCCATTCCATCATTCCTTCCATCATGGTTGTTTTGCCTAACTATCGGTGGGTTGGCTTGACCAACAGACCCACTGAAGTTTCCACCTTCCGAGTTCCCTTCATTTAATTCGGGCTCTTCCACACGAATTGACAGTTCTTCACGATTATGTTGAAGCAAACACCTAGTTTCATCCATCTGACGATCCAACATTGTTTGAATCATCATTTGCAAACCAGTCATGGTTATTGGCTCAGGTGTTGCTGCTACGACAAGTATTTGTTCAATCACTGGTGGTTGATTCCTATTTTCATCAGCATTTCCAACTCCACTTCTTGTTCTCACCATTTTTGATCTACACACCGAATAAGGTGAAATTAGATCCTTATTCACGATAGATATTCAAATCGTCCTTATCACTCCGAAACGTTTACACGCTAATTCTAATATCGTAGACGTACGCTTAGAATCCTATACACGTAAAGTTTCTAGATCCGGTCGGCAACAGACCATAGATCCGAACAAATAACATCATATATGGCAACATATAACATTTAGCACATAATGAATTTTAGGCAACTTTCCTAAAATAAACTAGTGCTCGTGGCTAAAATATAACAGACACACATCTCAAACTTCCACTTAGCATTCTAAGTTTAAGTCTAGAAATCCTACAAATTCCTAATTCGCTTAAACTAATGCTCTGATACCAACTGTGACATCCCCAAAATCTCGGCCAGAAAAGGCCGATTTTCATTTATGCTTTTAAAATAATTTCAGAGTAAATCCTTTTGATTTGAAAGAGTTGCAGAATTTGTTCCCAAAAATAAAATGTGATAAAATAATATTTACCAAAGCATTTCATAAAAGAAATGTATTTTCATTATATAATCAAAACTCGGGATGTCATGTTCCGATACAGACAATAAAGCATAAACAATAACATTACAAGTCATTCAACAAATATATACATATACAGACTTGTAAACAAAACAACTTGATGGTTCATCCATCTTATGCCATTGCGCCACTTCCTATAATACAAATAAAACTGAGTGGGTCAGGCTTGGGAGCCTGGTGAGCATATAGGGTTTTCAACCCACAATAAATAATTATATTTAATTCCACCAATCAACAATAACTCAATTACCCATTCCCGTTATTCTCACTTTACTTCCCTAAAACAACTAGCACAAGGGACCTAGTCTTAAAATATTTCATCGGGGCGCAACACATGCATTCGGTGGTTTCCCGGCAATATATGTCAAATAAGGCAACCATGAGGGGGATGGAGTACGGCGAATGAACACCCAAGTTCATTAACATCTACTGGTGGCGAACCTGCTAGCGTTCCACAGGACTGTCTAGAAAAGTCTGTGGTCGTCATCTAAACTCCGTTAGATGACTGAATCAAAAACAACATTGAGGCCTCTCATCTGTTTATCACACGTCAACTATCTACCCATGTTCTACCCGGCATATTAATAGATAAAAATATATATTTTAATACATAGTTTAAAACCTGTATAGCATTCTTATTCAATACATATTCCAAAACAACAGATGAGACACATACACATAACACGTATTTCATAGAGAATAAATC